TGAGCTCGCAACCACTTCTTGAATGGGGTATCTGCCCATAAATTGTATAGCAGCCATTCCAGCTCTATCCGCCACCCAGTTACCGTTATCGGGAGGGACTCGATACGGTTCCGCAATGATTGCAACGTCGCACTTTGTTTCTGTTGTCGACTCCCACAACAGTTGCTGAGCAATGTCGCAATGATTGAGGTTTATTTGGGTTACCTCCATTACTGTTGGCCTGCCATCGCCTTTTTGTATGCTAGGCATTTGAAGCCTCCCGTCGTATGATCGTTTCTGTCCTCTTTTTTGCAGAGCATACACCTCGGTTGCTTCGTGCAGCCTCTTGCAATATGGCCTTTCTCTCCGCATTTCCTGCACAGATTAGATCTGTCAGGACCATTACAGTTCCTCGCCTGGTGACCGAATCCCATGCACTTGAAGCATCGCTCCAGTTGCTTGGTAACCCGAGGAGTGGCTTTCAGCGAGCACAATGACCAGCCAACCTTGACCTTGCCCGTCTCCAACAGCTTTTTCGCTGTAATTGTTGAAAGTCGTATAACCGCCGTTTGCATGCCGCCCTACGCCTTCCTCATCCGGATTGACATCGGGACATCTCCCAGATCGCAGTGCACTCTCAACGCACTTCTTAGCTCTTCTTCTGTGGTGATCTCGTCCAGGTCCCTGCACTCGACCACTGTCTCCTAGGATAGAGCTCTTACGCTCGCCCCTTCGCCAAGAGACTTTTCGACGAGCTCCTTGAAGGCTGAGCTCTTGATAGCAGGATCCTTCTTCAGCTCAAAGAGCATCTCGCCTTTCTGGATGCGCCTGGTTTTCACCACGTTCTCTCCTAGTTCCTTCAACTCCGAATCCTCTCGAACCTTCCGGAGGAGTGCTGCATACGACATTTTGTCCTTAGCTTCGACGATCAGAGCATCGCCCTTACTTCGCTCCCGACGAGTCCTGGGTATCTCCTTCTTCTGTTCAGTTTTCTTCTTCACTTCTTTTTCCTTCCGTTTTTTCCACTTCTCCTTCGACTTCTCGACGATACGCCAGCCTTCCTCCTTGTTGTCTTCCTTGTCGTTCTTGACTTTTTTCAACTCCTCTTCCTCTCCTGGCGTTTCCCTTTTCCTCTTCTCCCAGCGTGGATTTCGAGGTCCCTTTGGTGTCTCCTGTATTTCAGCTGCTGCTTTCTTCTTGGCCTCGATCAGCGCCCTTTCGGCATTCATGGATCTCGTCCTCAGCGCATCCTGTTCACGTTTGGCAGCAAGAATGGCGGATTTGATGCCCGTCACCATTTCCTTAATTGCCTTGTGAACGTTGCTCTTATCCTTGACGAAGTAATGGAGTTCATTGATCCTCCTCCTGACCTCCATCAATTTGGTCTTCCCAAACTGCAATCCTTCTTGGGGTGTGCTACTGCTGGGATTTCGGTGTGAACATCTTGCTTAGCATAAGACCTAGCTCTCCTTGGTGTCCTTGCTGCTCACCTTGGGGCTTACTGCTGCTGCTGGAACTTGCTGTGGCCTCCAGGTTCAACACTGGTGATCTTTGCAATATCCCGCTCCTTGCGAACACGTTCGCTCCTCCGTTTTCAATTTTTGGCGTCTTGCCGTCGTTCTTCATATTTTTTTGGGTTTTCTCATTTTCTTTTTTGTTTTTTTCTCCGTTTTTCTCCATTCTGTTGGGTCCCCCCTCCGGGCCGCTATCTCCACTCGTTGTATGTAGTCGCCTATCGTGATCCCATGGTTATCTATGCAAGCAGGGAGGCCATGCTAGGGTTGTGTGTGTGTGTGTGTGTGTGTGTGTGTGTGTGTGTGTGTGTGTGTGTGTGTGTGTGTGCTTGTGCCTGTGTGTGTGTCTGTGTGTGTGTGTGTCTCTGTGTGTCTCTCTCTCTCTCTCTCTCTCTCTCTCTCTGTGTGTGTGTGTGTGTGTGTGTGTGTGTGTGTGTGTATGTGTGTGTGTGTGTGTGTTTTAAAAAACGCTACAATCGCATCGTTTAACAATACGATCCCTGCTGTAAACTTACCCACATTTAATCTCCCACTGATTTCTCGAGGAAGCGCAGAGGACTTCTCGGTTTCCTTCACAGCGAGTATCACGTCAACACGTTCCTTCCCATTCCCTATTTGACCTGCATTCGGACACAGTCGGCGCTGGTATTGCTAAATATTAGATCTCCAGTTTTTACATATTGAGGATGAATGTTAGTCCCAAACATCATCTGTTGTTCTCTATGTAATTGCGGCTGATCTGGCAATAACACCGCATCAACCATGGGCTGTCAATCATGCTCATGCTTATGCAAACACGGAGTTAGGTTTTAGCATATTAGTAATCATGTCTATTAAGAATTTCTGTAAAAAATCAATTTTAAGAGCAGTAATGCTACCTATGTCAAAATCATCAATATTTCCGTTGGAATTATGTTGGTTAGAATCAGTGCTGGAAAAGTTCGCAATATTTCACGAAGTTCACCAAGGGAATAGTTCGCGAGTCATAGTGAGTTTTCGCGAACTTTTCCATCACTGGCTAGAATTTAGATTTCGATTTCTACAAGCTGCAATAGCAGCATAGGTAATTCCATTTACTAGCTGATCATTGTTAGCAGCAGGTTTAGATAAAGCATTTCAAGAAGGGGAGCTGTTTTTACCTACTGGTACGAATGTACAATTTGTTCCTCGTTAACAGCAGAGAAACCTGTTCGGGAACGTGAAACGTCTCCTATCTTTCACTTAGAACGAGATTATAAGATCGCTTGCACCTCAATTGAGACATTTAAATTTCTTAGGATCATCCTCCACAGGACAGTCGTCCCCAATTCCCATTCCAATTCATGCATTTAGCTGACATGTAGCAATTTGTTGTTCCGTTACCACATCCCTGGCACTTACGGCACTGGGTGAGGTTTTGGAAATTTAATCCACTCTTCCTGAAGTGTTCCCACTTCACTCGGACATGGAGCATAAGGCTAGCTTTTTCTAAGGTCTTAAGGTTGTTAAGTTCTCTAGACTTAAAGTGAACAAAATAAAAATCATTATAAATCCCGTTGCGCGAATCGCCAGGACGTGATTTCATTTTCATTTTGATTACTTGGACTGGCTAAACTTAAAGTAATGGTGTCAATTCATCTTTGATGTGATCCAGGGATTTACCACTGGGCAGACCTTTCAAGATAACCTTGAACAGGCGTTCAGAAAACAGAACATGTGTATTGCTTCTCAGTAAGATACTTGATTAAGATTTGAAATGAAAACTTGAATTTAACGAAGTTCAAAAGTTCCGTGCGAAGAGCATTGAAAGTGGAAGTGGGGGGACCTTTTCCTTCTTGGCATTAAGGGATATTTAATTGAGTTTTGCCTGGATGATGGATCATTCTCATCATCCGTGAGCATATCAAATTGATTGCTCAAATTAATTTCATCAGAAGGGGGATCAAGAGATTGCCCTGTTCTGTTGCGTTTAGGCGCAATGGCGGCAGAATAAAGTTCTGAATCGATATCCAAGCAGGACTACCTCGGGTAGGGTCTAAACAAGGATCGAAGAGGAATAAGAATCGATAAAGTTAGAAAATTTGCAGGTTATATTTAGCACTGAAAAGTGCTGTTTGAATTTGTTGTAGCTGTAGGTAGCAGTACCACTTCCTTCAACAAGAGAGCACGATGTGGACCGTCGAAAATAACATTTACTTTTAGTATCTTCATCACTCCACATTTAAAGATCACTCCCAGTTGACTAACACACTGGATTTATTATTATTATTGGCTAACCCATAATTGTTGGATGACTGTTACAGTACATCGTATATAATTAATCGACATTTACATAAAAAAAATCGCCAACCAACCTTTTACTGTCAGTTTAAAATTGACATGAATAATTTACCATTTATTGTATTGAATAACTTACCATAAACAGAACCACGCCGCAAATATAACAGTTACTTATAAAAAAATCCTCTCTATTCAATCATCATCAACGAACATAGCCTGTTTCCCTTTTAGAATTTTGCAACCATCATCATTATAATAGGTATCACTTCAAAATGTTGGTGACAAAAAGTCACAATAAATAGTTTCACTGCAAGGCGCCAATACGCCTTTTTAATAGAAACTAAGTGATCGATTCAGCCTCTGGTGGTGAATAAGAGAACTCCAAAAAGAGTGTTGTGAGCAGAAATTTCTGCCGTGAGACATTGGAAGCGGAACACTTTTTCACTATTCCTGATAAATTGATTCATCTGAGATGCTCCAAAACTTGATCTACAGGTGAAAAATTTAATTCTGTATCGTTTTTGCAAGGATCCTGCTGGTGTTCTGGAAAATTTTTGTTGAGAAAATTGGAAAATTAGAATAATGCCTTAGTGGTTATGATCTTCCGGATTCCTTGTGCGTGAATAGTTGAGCTACAAGTCAGTTCAGATCTGTGGAAAATCGTAAAATAAGACAATTACTGATGGAAATTGGCAGATGTTCAATGAAAAATGCTTTAATTTGTGTGTTGAAAAATCCTGATGTAAACAAACGGTTTGGTTGACATTTCCTCTCGAACTCGCATGGCGCACTCTACGTTGGTGGTGCATTAAAAAGGCCTATGGGAATCTGGGGCTGTCCAGTGTCCAAGGGGGTTGTCTAGTGTTTACGGTCTATACAAATTTCCAAAAATGTGTATGGAAGATTGTCTACGCAGGGGGAGGGAGCCTTAAAATCTTTTAAAAACTGCGTAGTTTATGAACAGCCCTCTCATCCACGGCCCACACAAATTTTAAAAATTGTGTATGGACAATTGTCTACGAAGAGGGAGGGGGGAGGCAAGAATCCTAAAAAACTGTCTACGTGGTTAATGAACAGCCCCTAATTATAAGTGAAAGAAGTTAAATTAAAGTCAACCATGTTGTATGAAAATCGACTTGCGCTCCTTATATATCATGCAGCACTGTACCGTAGATGTAGATGCATTGATTCCAAGCGAGAGTAATATTGCTTAAAAACAAATAAACATATATTTGTTATGATTTGCAGGTGAACGAAAAGCAGGACGAGCAGGAAGTGAAACATGAAACCGAGGTATCTATCAATCCGGGATATATCTACATAGCACAATCTCCGATTGAAAAGCTGGTGCTTGGTCCATGTCGACCCGAGAGTCGTAATGAATGTGAGGTATGTATACATTATACGTCATTGACATTGTCATTGAATGAATAACCAAAAATACCTATATTGCAGATGGTATCATAAATAATTTATGTAGGGGAAATGGATGTAATGTCAGCCTAAATGCCCCTAATTTGGGCCCATACATAAATTCAGCAATCTACTAAATTTTCAATAGCAACCAACAATATCCATTAGTACCACCCCAATGACGCGTTCATCTAGATAAGAATGATAAATAGCAGATTTTTTAGCGATGGACCCAATCTTAGATCCATAGACCAACATTAGAGCCATTTCCAGGGCTGTTACAATAGGCGTGGATTTCGCGGATATCGCGATTTTCGCGGATTTGTCGTGGATTTGAACTTTCAGTCGCGAAAATCGCGGAAACATTAAATGATGTCGCGAAAATTGCGAAGGGACTGATGTGCTGTCACAAAAATTGTGGAATTCATTGTAACCTTTACGTCCAGGATTATTTTGCTGTCATCAATTTTGTTCATTTGGCTCTCAATTTTTTACCGGTTCAAACCAAACACCCTGCAAATAATTGAGAAATGATCTCAATTCCATAAGTCACACCGGATTTACACGGAAATTCCCTGGGGTCTGTCCAATGTGAGACATTTTCATGTTTCTTTTTATTTCCCATATGAACATTTAGGCCTATTCTGCGCGGCGTGTGAGGTGAAGGGCCAGTGAAGTGATGGTGAAGTGACAATTGTCACCTCGGGTGAGGTGAGTCTCCATGCAAATCAAATGGAGAGTCATCTCACCCGAGGTGACAATTCTCACTTCACTAATGACAGCGAGTCATCTCACGTCACACGCCGCGTAGAATAGGCGTAAATTGCATTTTTCGTTGTCAAATCATAAATGATTAGTATATATGCGAGTAATTGCCATGTATACCATATGTTCTAGGTTCTCCAAATCGTCCTGGAGTTCAGTTGATTTGTTCAGAGTCAGAGACGCAAAGGTTTATTTTCAAGAAAATTTGCATTTCAAATGAAAATGCATTAATTTTGTAAAATGATGTTCTAAATTTAGGCCGGTATTATTCAATATAATCTCATAATGTAAGGGTGTTTTATTATGTTCACTAATTACTCAGAATTTATACTATACATAAATAACTGAATAAGATACATTGTAATTTTTTTAAATTTTTTTTTTCAAATGTTACAAACGATACTCCTTTAGCTCAGTCTGTAAAGGCGCAGCTACAAGCAAGTCCATGCTGGAGGTGACTGAGTTCGTTTCCTGTCCGGTTTATTAATTTTTTGGGCTGGAAAATTTCTCTACTTCCTTGGGCATAGGATGGTACAGGCATAGAAAGCTCTCAATTAATATGTGAAAGTACTTCAAAGAACACTAAGTTGAGAGCAGACAAAAATCTAATATGCTATAAGCAATAAGCTTGAAATGCAATGTAGTAGTATACAAATTGTATTTTTAGGTAATGAAAACATTTGTTTTTTTGCAGCGGATTAGTATTTGAAGTCGCGGATTTCTTTGGAGAAATCGCGGATTTCGCGGGTCAAATTTAGAAAATCTTGTAACAGCTTCATTTTCGAAAATAGTGAATACTTCTGTTATGGCTAATACCATTTACTATGACAGGGTGCGTTGGGATGGAGTCAGGTGGCCGTGATGGAAGTACTCGTCCTAAACAAAATATACTTTAGAAAGGAGACAAATCTCGGAATGAAACATTTTATCACAGAAAAGTTTTACTTAAAACCGATGAATACAGGATTGATTTTGAAGGAGAATGTAGAAAGGTAGCATAATCAGAAGATAGAGATACATTTTACTTTTATTTATTTATTTATTTGTCGTCAATCAGTGTAGACTGTTTTACAATTTTTAATTAAACGCTAATTGTTACAATTTTACTTCAAGTACTTGCATAACATTTATAATTTATTATTGATGCCTAGCTAACATCGTAAAGAAAGTATTTTAAGCGTACTTTTATTCATTGTTCACGCAGAGAAATGATTTTTAAATTCAAATAGATATATTTTGGGTATTGATTCAAATATAGGGGAAATGTCTCTAACGTTGGCCTATGGATCTAAGATTGGGCCCATCGCTAAACAACTGCTATTTATCAATTTACGTTACTAATGGATATTTTTGGTTGCTATTGAAAATTTAGTCGATTGCTGAATTTATGTATGGGCCCAAATTAAGGACACTTAGGCCGACATTACCTGAATTTCCCCTATTATTCGGTTAATTCAAAGAAAAATATTTTTGAATCAACAAACCGGTTGTAGAGTCAATAATTTGTTTGTTGATTCAAAAATATGTTTTGTTGAAATAGTGATACAATATGTTTGAATCAATAACAAAATACATTAGGCCCTGAAACAAAAATCAATTTTTCTGTGTGTAGTCAATAGATTCACAGAATGTATTATAACAAGACATCATTCTATTCAATGGGCTATTTTTGACATAGTCTGTTCTTTGATTTTTGATGCTAAACAAATTTCTTTTCCGCAGTGAGCGAGTGGAATCATAAAAATTAATATTTTCCAAAATCTCTGGGCTGTTCTTCTTCTTCTTCTTCGCATATCAAGCTTATAGCATATCGCATATTAGCCTATTGCGTGCTCTCAACTTAGTGTTCTAGATGCACTTCCACAGTTATTAATTGAGAGCTTTCGATGCCTGTACCATTTTTGCATTAGTATAATTGTGTGGCAAGTACAATCACACTCTATGCCCAGGGCAGTCGAGAAATTTTCCAACCCGAAAAATTCCTAGACCAGCCTGGGAATCGAACCCAGCCACCTCCAGCATGGTCTTGCTTTGTAGCTGCGCCTTTACCGACTGAGCTAAGGGAAGCTGTTATCTCTGCGAAATCACATCGTTTATAAAAGCAATCATTGCGAATTCTCTTCGCTTTTTGAGGTAATCTAAATTAATTAGCATACAACGCGATTCATAAGATGGAAGTGGAAAACTCATCCAACCCAACTTTCTTAGAGCAAACAAGAAGAACTGCTTTGGAACTGATTCTATGCGGTTTACATGTGTATCATGATATGGAGCCCAAACTACGCTGCGATATTCGAGAAGAGGCCTCAAATATACTACGTAAAGTGTTGTGATTGTGTAGGGATCATTTAAGTGCAAACTAAATCTTTAATGAACCCAAGCATGTTGCTTGCTTTGTAGATAATGTTATTGTAGTGACCAGCAAAGGTTAACTTGGAGTCGAGGATAACATCTACAGTTGTGTTAAATATAATAGCAGCGCATGCCGATGTAACTTTTTTAATTTATGATCAATTGAGCTTAAAACGTTCGCCACAGAACTACAAATAGGGGCAATGTCTCTAATGTTGGCCTATGGATCTAAGATTGGGCCCATCCCTAAAAATCTGCTATTTATCAATTTATCTAGATGAACGCGTTATTGGGACGTTACTAATTGATATTTTTGGTTGCTATTGAAAATTTAGTCGATTGCTGAATTTATGTATGGGCCCAAATTAGGGACACTTAGGCCGACATTACCTGCATTTCCCCTATGTTCAATTTTACGATTACAAAATACCAAATTTTTGGAAGCACCTGGTGGAAAGTGAGACGCTAGGTAAAATTGTTCAAAATAATAGCAGTTTTTTATTTGAATTTTTATGTACTGCATATATTTTAAACATTTTTTTAACTATTATGTACATTTGTTAATTGGGTGGGGATTGTTAGAATTTTGAGAAATGTAAAATTTAAAATCTCAAAATTGAGCTGAAATGCAAATTAGTAGTACTGCTATTATTTTGAACAATTTTACCTAGTCTCACTTTCCGGCAGGTGCTTCAAAAAATTTGGTATTTTGTAATCGTAAAATTGAACATATTTGTAGTTTGTCGAACGTTTCAGCTAAATTGATCTTAAGGGAACAAAGGTACAACTTGTCAAAGTTGACCATTTTTTATGGAAATCGGCATGCGCTGCTATTATATTGAATACAGGCGTAAGTCTCTGACTTGATAGCATCTTTGAATTGTTTTCTGGCCAAGAGTAATTGTGTCGTGTATTACAGCGTGCTTTCTTGTGAACGATATATAATTGAATTTATTAACATTTAGTTCTAAAAGACGTCAATTTCATGTTGAAATATTTGAAGATCAGGTGCTCTAGATATCTCCATGAAAAGTTTCATGTCATCAGCATTTATAGAAACATGAAGAAATTTCAAAATAGGGGAAACCCCTCCCCTTGGCTAGTTTTTGCACCTTGCTGTTGGTGGGCGGGCTTAATTTCATGCTAGTGGAGTGTTGGAGACGGTAGGTTTATGGTCGGCGTTGCTGGCTCATGCCGCGATAGAATGGCGTCATGGGCAGGCAATGGGGATTACTAAGCTTCCCCTCTCTGATAAACCACTGCATGAGAGAACCAAAGATCTAGTCTAGCAGTGATAGTATCACACTTGTTACTCCTTTAATTGAGAGCCGCGTCGTAGTACGCTTACGTATACTACCCATAGTCGCATATCAGTCCCATCTTTGCTTGATTTCTTATCCATATGGGAGGGACTGATATGCGGTTATGGGCAGTATAGGCACTGACGTTGGGTGTGATACTGGCGGGTTTTGCCGCAAATCACTCTTATTTTATTTATTTTTACGCAGATAGATTCATTTGGGTTTGTAAGGGAATTATACTATTGAAATATTTCAGAAAGTGCCGAACGGTGCTCCTTCTATTTGCGTGACAAGCTTTCATTGTTGTTTTCATTGAAGTATTACTCAGGAAACAATTTTAAACATCATTTTTGTACATGGTATTGTAACTAATCTTATATGTGCTTCATTTTGATTTGGAATAGGGGAAAGTGGGGCAGTTTGGCCACCTTAAGAAAAATACTCCATAACATAACGTAAAGCAGCAAATAAAATATCGTTTTCAAAGAAATCATTGATTTACAGTGTTAGAGTTTATGTCCCATTAGCAAAAGCTCTTTAAAATAACATTTTGATACATTTTTACTAGCATTAAAAAATGTTGGATTTGTAGCCTGCCAAATACTGTTGGGGTAATATGAGCAGTTGATATTATGTACTAGAGATTTTTTTTAATAAACGAAATTACTCCATAGATGTTTTTGTGGTATAGCTAAATCATTGAACTGTGCATATCAATACAAATGGTTTTATTCAATCAACATTTGGATGACATTTAGTAACCAGTTTCAGAAATTCAAACAATTAAATTCATAACAGGTTATAATCAAAGAACAAAAGCGATAATAATTCTGCTTAACATGAGTTAACAAACAATTAATTCATAGTTATTACGAAGAACAACTAATACAAGTCTTTGCACACCACATGTGGCATTTGATGCATTTCTCCCAACAATTTCCATCACCTGATGAGCTGAAACAGATGCCGCAACTCTCGCATAGTATGTCCCGTACATCCCTGTTCTCCTTCTGTCTTCTTCGTGTTATAGGTTTACCTTGAGGACGCTTTCCACATACTTTTTCTGTTGTTTTCAGTTGGTTTATTTCCTTGGTAGCTTGCAATAACTTCAGCGCGTTTCGATGTGGTCTAGATGTCAATTCAGCAGATTTTTCTTTCTTTCTTCCTCTCTTTTGTTCCTTCAGCGCGATTTTAGGTAAAGGCCGGATTTCTAATGGCCCTATGGAAAACGACTTGTTTAACCCATTCAAGGATTTGGTTGAAACATCTCTTCTCTCCTCAACAGATGCGTTGTTTGCAAAAACACGATCTACATCGTCGAAACCTAGAAATGGCGGTTCATCTTCGTCGTCTGACTGGTTATCGTTTCTCGATGCTTTTTCAGTTTCGTTATTTGAGGGTATGTCCGATACATTCGCTGATGCGAAGGGTATGTCCGATACATCCGCTGGCACAAAGTCATCATCGGTGAATACTGACCTGTTGAACGGTACGATGCCAGTTTTGCGGAATCCATTTACTGCAACAGAGGCTGTCAAAGAGCGAAGATAAGCTTTTCGGAAAAGTGCACTTATTTCATTCAGTGTGATGACCTTGCCAGGATTCTTCTTTAAGTATGCCTCAATAACTTGCGACAAGTTAGTTTTAAGAGGCGCCATGAAGCTGACATCAAGAGGCTGCAGTTTGTGACTACAGTGTGGAGGTAGGGAAATCACCGTAACATAAGAACGCTTGGCATTATCCAGAAAATCTAGATTTTTTGTATGCGAAGCATGTCCGTCCAGTAGAAGCAGTACCGGGCTCTCCTTTGTATGCCTTGTATGTGCCAAGAAGTGTTCGAACCATGCTGAAAAATCGGCAATTGTCATCCAACCCGACGTGTTACAACTGAATAACGTTTCCGGTGGCGCTCCCTTTTGTAGCTGTTCTGTCAGTCGTGCCCGCGGGAATAATAACATGGGTGGGATAAAGTGTCCCACAGCAGACATACATATGCAAGCTGTAGTCAGGACTCCTCTGTCTGCAGAAGCAATGCATCCTACCTGACGCTTTCCTCTCAAAGATACGACCTTTGATGTTTTTGTTTGGACCTAAAAATGTAATAAAAGTAGGGGAAATGTTGGCTTCGGCAATACCTTAACCTATTATCGTCAGGGGGGTAAACAACGTCCTTGAGAGCTCAATTTGGGCATGTGGATACATTGTGTTTCAGAGCATCTATTGGCCAAATTTGAGTGCTCTAGGACTTTGTTTACCCCCCTGACGATAATAGGTTAAGGTATTGCCGAAGTCAACATTTCCCCTAGGTAAAACTCATAAGATTTGGCTTTTGAAAACATTCATACTCCATACCGTAACAATCGACGTCTCGTCCACGTTGTATGTTCTGCTGGCAGGGAACACAGTGTTATCGAAGATCTTTTTTTTTTTTTTTTGCTGCTCCTCTTTTCCCTGGCTTAGACCGTGTGACGGTCCATCTCGCCATATCGAAGATCTTCTCCAGAATATCGTAAAATCCATTGACAGCCCCTTTGTTGAATGCTTGTGCTCTAGCAATCGACGTTCGTTCTGGCGTCCGCAAAGTAAGTTGAGGGTTTTTTTTTTTTTATATATCTTTATTAAGGAGACTTTCCCAGCCGTTGGCTGGCTCGTCTCCGATCCTGCCAATTGTGTTTTCTTATTGAATTTGTTTTATTTCGTTCCGCCAGATGATACGCGACGCTTCTTATATCCCGAAGAGTAAGGCCATATAGGCGTTTGTCCATGTCCACTATGTACTGCACAAGTTCTTCTTCTTGCTGTCGGGAAAACACGGTGTTGTCCAGCATCATCAATTCGCATACGTTCTGTTTCGGAAGGTTCAAATATCGGTTCAGGGTTTGACGTGGAACACCATGTTCTATTGCTGCTCTGTTTTTTTGATAATCCGTGACGATTCACTGCTTCTATCGCGGCGAGAAGGTTTGAAGACGACCACTGTTTCTTTTTACCGGTACTTTTATAACACCGAACCATGTTTACCGTTCAATTTGCGATTTAATCCACCGAAAATATGAAGCGGTGTCCGCGAGTGCAGAAGTAAACAATACTGAAATTATAGGTTATGGCTCATTTTTATATGCCCACGTCACCCCGCATAGTGGTGCTCATTCCGCCCCGATGAGAGAGCGGAATTTGTTTATTAGAATTTGTTCAAATAAGCGATATTATATAATAAATTAAAATACTAAACGTTCACGAAACCAATCAGCAATATTGTCTTACACCACAAAATTAAATAAATGACGCAGGAGATGACCAAATCCTTATTTTTGACACCGCTTTTCTTATAATTTTTTTTTCACATTTTCGCAACTTGTACTTCGATTGATTTTTCCGCACATAAAATAGATTTAAATTTGTCTTTTGCTTATTTTGCATTATCAGCGAAGGATCACCTAGTTTTAGCTACTAATTTAACTTTAAACCACAATTATCATTGAAAACACAGCGTTGGCCATTCCGCCCCATTGGCGAAATGACCCCGTCGTCCACTATGTCCTCAACCATGTATATTGCAACAAAGCAGGCAAGCAAAATGATTTTTTTTATACAGGGGGAATCTGCTCGCAGACACCTGAGAAGATAACTCAGGATGTGGGGTTGGGAGGAGTGGCCCTTGCCGCCCGAAGGCATTACATCATAGGAGGGGGTCGATTGCGCTATGGCGCACCACTAGTGTTTTCACTCTCGCTACTGCACAGAGAGCGGCTGTGCAGGGCCTTCCTCTTAATCGTTCGCCGTTGATTGTTCGGGTTTGTGCAGGGCTTTCCGCTTATCGACCTCCTGGGACAAGCTGGGTGGGGCTCCAGCGCCCTTACTCTGTTGTAGTTCGATTAGCTGCAATATCTCTCCCTTGGGTTCGATCATTAACGTTTCCAGGGCACACCACGAGTAGACGAACTGCTTCATGGCCCAAGCAAGCAATATGTATATCATTGTCCTTCTAGCACTCCGATCGAACTGTGTTGCAGAGAAAGTTTGTAACATTAAATTTGGCATCTTAATTTGAATTTTTCTAGGCTAGGCTGATTTTTTTCTGAGCTAGACTGCTTACACACTTATTTAATTGGGATTTATTGCTGAAAAATAATGCATTTGCTTGATATGCTGAATTAAGGGGCTATCCCTAATTTGCATCCCGTAACCCTAGCCTTAAACTAGATATTCGACTGTCAGCAATTAAGTAAATAAATAAATAGAAGCTCATTTTCGAAATCGAATTGATTCGAGTTTTTCTTTTTTTTTCAGCTCATATTCCTTATAGGGTTGCCAGCCAGTGGTAAAACCCATTGGGTACAGAATTACGCTAGAGAGAATACGCATAAGAAAATAACCATCTTGAGCGTCGAAACGTTGCTGGATCAAATGAGAGTAATATTGGCTCAATGTATACCTCGTTACATTTTTGTATTGATTTATATTTTCTATCATAAGCTTTCGGGTGAACCCAGGAAACCAGCAAATACAAAGAAGTGGTCGAGACTCGTGGACCAACTTTCAAAAAGTTTGAACAAGCTGACCGAAATTGCTGCAAAACGAAGAAAGAACTTTATTTTCGATCAGGTATAAAAATAAGTATGTTTTGCAAATTTCGTGATTATAACTGAACGATATTTTTTTAGACCAACGTATTTCCGACTGAACAGAAGCGTAAACTACGGGGCTTTGGTGAATACGCAGCCAGGAGGGCAGTTATTGTAGTTCCCGACGAAGAGGAGCACAAACGCCGGATCAAACAGAAATATGATGCTTTTGGTGCGGAAGTTCCAGAACAACATCTTAACGTAATGAAAGGTAAAAGTTTTTTTGGTCTTGTTGTAGAAAGCTTAACCCTCCAGCGCTCATAAGGGAACCGTTAAAGTAAACACATTTCTATTCACATTGCTATTTGGTTGTTAGGACCAATAAATGTTTTTTTAAAGAAACTTAAAATTTCATAGTTAAAAATTACTGCTTTTTGCTCACGCTGAGATCTAAGCTGGTTCACGTCAAAATAAATAAAAGACGATAAATATAACTTTCATTTGCAACCAGTTTAATTGAATTCGGATAAGAATTGGATTTTTACAGCCAAAACATAACAGGTGTCACCTCTATGTTACAATGGGCGCTGGAAGGTGTAGAAGTGCAGATGGGCAGGTTATTTGCCTGCCAAAGTGAGAGTTGAGCAAGGACATTGACTATTCTTGTAGGAATGCAACCAATGCGTAGTAAACTGATATATTTTTTTCTTATCTATTGCTTGTTATAGCACACTTCCATATTCCCTCCAAGGAATTGAACTGGTTTACCGAAATTACATACGCTGAATTGGATGAGGAAAAAGCAATTAAGAGGGTAAAAGAATTGAATGCGGCTGGTCAAAAAGCGTTGCCTCGAGGATTGAATAAGAACCAACAACAACGGCGTGGTACGAACAACAACCAGGGATGGAATCAAGGCAACAAACGTTATAGTGGTGTTCAACAGTATAATCAAGGAGGATACAATCCTCAGCAGCAGCGTTATAACAGCACACAGCAATATTCTCAGAACAGACATTATCGACCAGATGGGGGATATGGGCGGCGAGACTCTGGAGGCTACACTGTTGGCCGCTACGGTAGCAATAATGATTGGACTCGCGGGTATTTCTTCGTATCCAATATATATGATGTGTATCAACTAGCACTAATGAACAGTTAATTGATCATGCGGTGGAAAACCTACCAATTTTAATGAATTAATCCTTCTTCGCATTGCAAGTTTATTGCTTATCGCATATTAGCTCATTGCGTGCTCTCAACTTAGTGTTCTAGATGCACTTCCACAGTTATCAATTGAGAGCTTTCGATGCCTGTACCATTTTTGCATTAGTATAATTGTGTGGCAAGTACAATCATACTCTATACCCAAGGAAGTCGAGAAATTTTCCAACCCAAAATATTCCTAGACCGGTCCGGGAATCGAACCCAGCCTCTTTCAGAATGTGGCTGTGCCTTTACCGACTGAGCTAAGGGAGGCTTGAATTTATCCCGTAATGCTTGAAACATGCATTTTAAATTAAACTTAAAATATTGTTGGATCAGAGCTTACCAGATTTGATTATTTATTCATTGCTTTTTCAGGGTGTCACAACCTGAAAAAAAACCTGGAAAGTCAGGCAATGTCAGGGAATTCTATTTAGATCTGGAAAGTCAGGGAATTTAAGGGAATTTTAGTGTAGGTCAGGGGAAAAATATGATATTTTTGATTTATTGTATCCAATTTAACGTTGAAATTTAAACAAACCAAAATAGCCGAATTGCCTTAAGTACTCATCCGCTAGGTAACAATGTCAAGATCACACCCACGGTCTTCTGTTCAATAAGCAAAAACGGTTGCACAATGCAACCAATGCTACATAACATCAACTCGGAGAACTAGCCAACGGCTAAAAATCTCCTAAATAAAGGAAGAAAAAAAACACATCAACTACGACGATGACAATCTGACAACAACAATAAACTAATATGCGATAAGCAATAAGCTTGAAATGCGAAGAAGAAGCAATAGAAGAAGACCTCAGTTTAAGACGCCGATATCAACCCCCAATGTCGGTCTATACACTCATAAAATTCGACACATTTTTATTAACGAATTTCCATGTAAAATTCAATATAATTTTCATGTGTTCACACATAAACAGAATCCACTCAGAAGTACACATGAAATGTACGAGTCAAATTAAACATAAGAACTATGTGTCCGACACATACATATATAATTTTTTTATCACATTGCGAAAATTCATGTGTGGGATAGATAATTATAATCATTCAATTTTTACACAAATAACGGGCGGAGGTTACACTACTCGCATACACTTGTACCACCCACGAATTTGTGTATCTAGCATAATGTGAATGCGAATGCGTAATCATTTTTTTTCTAATGGGACTGACTTGTGGATACTTTTCGCAGTGGGACTATTTTACGTGGTATTGTTTTCACTTATCCTGAACAAACCACCTTTTTTGAATAGTACAGCTCAAAAAAGATAAACTGAATAATGGTACTAACTCAAAATTCGTAAAAATGTATATGGGACTGACTTGCGGCTACCGGCAGTGCACTTAAGCGATGTAGGGGGAGGAGGGGCATAGTGAGCATCCCGCAGTTTGGCTCTGGATCTCCAGTTGCATGAAACGATTGTACGACTTTTCCCCGAAAACCAGTTCCCCGAAAACACTTTCCTCGAAAGTTTTATCCCCGAATGAATCAGTTCCCCGAAAGGAACGTTTTCCCGAAAACTTTTTCCCCGAAAGAACTAGTTCCCCGAAAGATACAATTTACACTGTGCGATCTATTTAAATATGATCCTTGGGTTTGTTACAACTTATCTATATGAAATTGAGAAAAATATCTTTGCTGAATATTGATAAACAGAACAAAGTCGTTCAACACCCTAGATAAAGTTTGTGGTTATGACTTGTTATGACATTTGGCGGTTTATCAAATTGATATCTGATTGTAATGAGTGATGTGTTTCCGTTTGGGTAGAGATTCTTCCACAATAGAAATATAAGTGTTGACTCCAGTATGTATCAAGTCCAACTGATCTATTCAGCACAGTGTTTATTTCATTTATACATTCTCCTGAACATCACTTATCGCCTCACTTATCGTTTTCTCTCTTTCCGTTATTACCGCAAAATCTCTCAAAGGGTTCAGACATTTGACCGATCATTACAATCCTTCCTCCTTTAGAACAAACATTAATTCATAAACAAAAAAAAAAACTATTTAATTTCGAACTCATGAATTTACATGAACTGATTTAACTAATCTAACTTGTATCAGAATTCAGAATAAAGCATTTCAATAAATCGTCACTACTTTACATAATCGAATTGAATCTAAACATATACTCAATCATTTCCATGCATTTTCTTAAAGGTTTAAACCTGATATTTTTCTTCTTGTTTTTCTTGTAGCAAATCCCAGGACTCATTGATAATTTACTACTGAAAACAATGCTACTGATCTTGCTACTGGCCTTCCATAGTTGATTCAGCATTTTTCTTCGACCGCGTAAAGCTTCGCGTTGCAATGGGGCTACGTCTCGCTTGTTTTAATCCTCTGCTTCCAAAATCGGTATTTATTGGTACATCCGGAAATCCGAGAAACTCCTCGTCGGAATCATCGAGTTCTCTAAGCCGTTTTTTTCGCTGTATTGGCACTTGAAACGTCGTACTACTCGGCCGGGTGTCGACAATCCTTAGCTGATTCCGATGAGCGTTACAATTGTGCCTGAATTGGGGAAATCACATTTTGCTTCTCTAAAGAATCCAGATGTTCAATAACTTTTTCCCGTAATTTGAATGGCACATCATATGCTTTACGAAATATTGGCCTTTCCTCTCTAAGCACAAGGTCAGCTTCAAACCCCAATGCATGCTTTTGCTCCAAATTTCGTTCAGTTTTTTTTAATGTGTTGATACTGATCACATTTCCAAATGTACTCCTCCAACTAGGATAAAAAGCATCCAGCCAATTTCTGCCGAACAACGGAACAAAACTCCTCGAGCAATCAAGTATTATCAAAGTTACTTGATGCTGAACATTGTTCGCAAAAACATCGACGAAAATCTCGCCAAAGATTTTCAGCTGTTGCCCATTCACGACAACTAAGCGGCTGCTGCAAATTGTAGCTTCGATGTTTTTAAAATACTTTCTGTAGGTCTCCAAACTGATAACCGTGACTGCTGCACCACAGTCTATTTCCATATTCAGATTAATTCCTTCTACTTGTACCTCTACAAGACACGGTTTGCTGAAACGACTGCTCGCTATCATCATACATGGATAATCATCTTCTTCCTCCGAATCTTTTATCTGTAACCTTTTAAAATCATAGCTATCTATTTCTACCGGCGCTTCTTCTACAAAGTTGACCGATTTACGATTATTTAATCTGTAGCAATTACGCTTTACGTGACCTTTCTTTTTGCAAAAATTACAAATTACGTTTACGTGAGGGTTCTCATTTCTATAATGATTCGAATAACTGGTTCTCGGTTGGTCCTCATAATAATGTCGACGATCATATCGATTGCTACCGAAATGTACACGCTCACGATCCCTGCTTGTGCTCCTGCTTCTGCTGCGATATCGCCTATCGTAACCACGCGATACAGATCTACCTCTTCTGTCCATACCTTTCCACTGCCTTTCATTTCCTAATCTGTATTTAACCGAATTAACCTCCCGTGGGTCTTCATTTCGCTCCATCAACTCCATTGCACGGAACTTAGCCAACTCACTCCGAATTACCATCTGTTCTACCTCTTCCAGCGTCATATCATCTCTCATCAACAACTTATGCTTCAGCTCCTGGTCCCTCAATCCAAAAACAATTTTATCTTTTATGGCTTCATCTTTATGCGCTCCGAACCCACAATGACTTGCTAATAATTTTAGGGCTAAAACATAATTTTCAGCCGGTTCGTCAACTCCCTGCAAACGCCCATTAAACTTATGTCTGTGCATCATATTAGGTTGCACTTTGTCCAACCTTTCCTTTAGTTTACTGATCATATCGTTGTATACCATGGCTGAAATGTCCAGCCCCGGATAAATAAGTTCCAGTTCATCAAAAATAACCGGACCACTCAAAGCAATAAACAGATTTTTTTTGTTGTTGTCCGCAATATTATTCAATTGGTACAAGATATCCATTCTTTTCATATAACTAGTGAAACTAGAACCACGCACATAGTGGTCAACGGCTCCAATTAAGGCAGACATGCTGGCGCAAATAGTACGTATATAATGGCAAACACCCTACAACAAAAACGCAATAAAAAAAACAGGAAATGACTTACTTGATCTGCAGAATCTTACTCTCTTTTATTGTTACACTTGTTTCACCCAGCAGCGTCGGTTGTTCCGTCGGCGTTACGAAACTCTCTGCTACCGTGCAATAAACTCTCTGCTCTTCTCTTACTCTGGTTCGCTATTCCACCAGAAGTCCAGCAGCGTTACTCTTACCACCGTGCATGTATTTTCTGTTTCTCTCTTCTCTCACCGTGATCTCCGCCAATACACTTTTTTCTTCGGGCAAATCGTAACCCTTCGACGTACGTTAATTTCTTATCCACCGTAAATCACTCTTTGAAATGTTCTCGCTGTAATTTTTCTCTGCCAATTTGCACTCACTCAGTTCAATACTCGGTTCAATATGATTAACTGCTTACTTTTTTTTTTTTTTTATACCTTCGCGAGCTCACCAATTTTTAGGCTGCTATATTCCAAACCCAGCAAAGAAAATCAGCTTTTTCACTCTACGTCTTGCTTCTCACTCCTGCGCTATTGAAATGGCGGACCAAGTGGAACAATTGGAATTACAATGGCCACGGTTCTTTTCATAGACCATGAGCCATCTATTTTTCAAAATGACGGCTTCGAATACTTTCTGTACAAACTGTACAAGCTTTTAATACTTTTTTTTTTTCACCGTATTCACACGTGCCAGCTGCTAATTATCACCTTCTGTTTCGCTCACTGACAATCATAAGCAACCGTCACACTAAAACACAAATTTCTTCTTGCTTCACGGCTCTTTTCACGCACGCTTCCAAACGCCGCTGCAAGAATAAAGTTTTTCTTTCCTCACTACTTCACTTTTTTCACTAACTATTTTTTTTAGATTTTCCACTCGTCGCTATTGATGTGTTTCCGTTTGGGTAGAGATTCTTCCACAATAGAAATATAAGTGTTGACTCCAGTATGTATCAAGTCCAACTGATCTATTCAGCACAGTGTTTATTTCATTTATACATTCTCCTGAACATCACTTATCGCCTCACTTATCGTTTTCTCTCTTTCCGTTATTACCGCAAAATCTCTCAAAGGGTTCAGACATTTGACCGATCATTACAATGAGCATAAAGACTGAGCTTTGATATAAAGAAGGGAAAATTGTGTCAGTTTCATCAAATCTTTCGCTGGTTAACTACTTGTATCGAACAATACCACAATACACATATCAATGTGTGTCGAATTAAAGTGGACTCTACACGACTGTTTGTATTGACAATAATCGTATTGTCAATGCATTTTATATTGACGTCAATACATCGGTATTGACAATATATCTGTATTCACATCATCAATATTATTGTCAATACTTTTAAGTATTGACAATATTTCTTACCGTGTGGGGTTCGCTTAAGACAATAGTTTGACTTTCGTTAAAACTACATGTAAAGGTCACACACTAAGATTATTTCACCGAAATCTGTGAAATTTTACCAAAATCTCAACAGCTGAACGTTTTGTAAACAGTTCGGTGATTTTCCACAGATTTCCTGTAATTTTTTACCGAATGTTCTGAAATCGGTGTATGGTGTTTTCTTCTTGCTCCATACAATTTTGGATTCGGCCTATAAGAAGTCGCAAAGTGACTATAGCAAGAGCAAATTTTCATTACGTCGAATGTAACAAAGGTAAACAAAGTCGAGCTATCAGTGTCAATCGATGCTCCTACTATTACACTATATACTGTCCGAATATAGGATCACATCCCATTTTTAAATTTATTTACCAGTCGAATTGCTTTTTGACGTAATCACCTTCCGATCAAAATAGTTTTCGATGTTACTTAAGTCACCCGATTTCTATGGAGATGCCGTTTGCCTTAAGTAACAGCACTGAGAAACCCGTGAAAAGTGTACTTTCGTCGTTTCGCTTTCTCATTATTAAAGTGAATAAATCGAACTGTTTGTTGCTAAGATGATTTCGGTGGTCCTAAAATGATGAATGGGCTGCACGTAAGGAGACGTAATTGATAATTCTCTCGAATATCCTGGTAAATACACTTTGACTTAAGTAACAATAGGGGCCACCAAACGACGTATAATAACTTTTGACTCAAAAACCATTATTTCTTAGCATGAAAGCTAGCGATTTGCCTTTGTATGATTAAAACCCGGCTAAATATGTTAAACATTGCTATCACTATGAGATTATATGTGTTTAATTGGAAATAGGAATAACTTTTCGGTCATCAAAACAAAACTTTATTTTTCTCGGATCGGTGCGAATGTTACTTACGACATAATGAAAATTTGCTCTTGATAGCATGTATTGCATGGGGACGCATGGTATCTTTTATTTATTAGTATGGAGTTTTTTAACGTTCGTACCTATACAACACACACACACACAATTCTTGCAACAAACAAAATTTTCCCTTCTTTGTATCACAGCTCGTTTCTTAACGTATCGCATAATATCTACCCTAATAAAAATGTTATGGTTAATTTGCTTAACGACGTGTTCTGGGTATCATCCAAACCATTTGTGGAATAGTTCACACATTTGGGTTATCGTTCGTTTATGGTAATTTTTTATTAGGGTATCTAATTGGTTTTATCAAAGAGATATCATTTTCCTTTCTTTGTTTCACGGCTCGTTCTTCAATTTTATTACAATGAGGTATCGCTTTGATAAATTAGTAAGATATTTATTCTTCAAAACGTTAAAGAACGAGCTGTGATACAAAGAAGGGAAAATTTTGCTTGTCGCAAGAAATTTTCCTTCTTTGAATCATAGTTCATTCTTTGACGTATAATGTATAATGTATCCATGTATGTATGTATCCATGGGGCTAATTGCATACAATGTGTGTGTTTGTTTGATAGGTACGACCGTTAAAAAAAACTCCATACAAACAAAGAAAAGATATCATGCGTCCCCATGCCATACATATTAGTCACATGGCGACTCCTTATAGGGTGAATCTAAAATTGTATGGAGCACGAAGAAATCAATATGTGTTGAATAAAGACAAAAGTTTGACTTGGGGCTAAATGGAATACAATGTATGTGTTTGTTTGATAGGTACGACCGTTAAAAAAAACTCCATACAAACAAAGAAAAGATATCATGCGTCCCCATGCCATACATATTAGTCACATGGCGACTCCTTATAGGGTGAATCTAAAATTGTATGGAGCACGAAGAAATCAATATGTGTTGAATAAAGACAAAAGTTTGACTTTCGTTAAAACTACATGGAAAGGTCAAAAGCTGCTGAAATAGGATTACACCGATTTCAGGAGCTTGACCTTTACATTTTGTTTTAACGAAAGTCAAACTATTGTCTTTATTCGACGCACATTAATATGTTTATTGTGGTATTGTTCGATACAAGTAGTTAACCAGCGAAGATGCGCAGATTCGGGGAAATGGTACATTCGGGGAAATTATTTTCTGGGAACTGTGCCATTCGGGGAATTGTATTTCGGGGAAAAGTTACATTCGGGGAAAGTGTTTTCGGGGGACTGGTTTTCGGGGAAAAGTCGTACAATCGCATGAAACAAATCAACTGGTAGTAGGTTCAATATCATCATGATATTGATCATACTACCAACCAATTTGTTCCGAACGGCCGGAAGTCCAAGCTGGTGCACGGGATGCTCACTATGCCCCACCTGTTCACTATGCCCCTCTTACCCCTAACTGCTAATTAAAACTTTATGTTGATGAACTTTAAATTAAAAACTTAAATCAATAAATGTTAACCACTGGGTAATAGCCAAATACATAATGCACAACTGTACAAACATTTGTTTCCATTTGAAATTATTAGCATTAGAAAACAATGATTTCCCGAAGAATTATTTAGCGATTAGCGGTTTTAGTGCCCATCTCTGGCTGAAACCAACAAGCAGGCCTGCAGCAATTAGGCGCGCTTGAGTTTGAACACTGATGGAAACGAAGGGTGAACATAAACATTATTCGGTGCACGTGACAATATTTACATGATTCGAAAAATCTCTGGTAACCGTGAATCAGAAGGAGTACGCTTCGATTATCAATTAACCAAGTACCCAATATGTAAAACGTACAAGACGTGTCATAAACTATTTTTGAAGTCCCATGGTCAAATTGCGTCGTTTTCAAACGAAACAGATTTCCCATACAAAAAGATAGAAAAATTGTATGGAAAATTATCTGTAGTCTATTGGTACACTTCCTTTACGGCCACTGGAAACATAGTTGTCCCATGTGTATATTTAATTCCATAGCACATGGGACAATTATGCGTCCACCGGCAGTTTATTACTTTTAGTAATATTCCATTTCTTGTAGACGTTATGAAAATCGTTATAACAACCGAGGTAGCCGAAATAGTCAAGCACAACGATACGGTGGGAATTACAGTGGTACGCAAACATAAGTGAAATGCATTGGAGCGCTAATCTTCAAATTACAATTTTTCAGGATATAACAGTGGATCAGGATGGAACCAACCAAATTCAAATTGTTGGAGCTACGGTGGTAATCAAGGAAATGATACGCAGCAATGGTATTCGTGGTGGCAGGTAATATGTTGTTTAATGCTATGTTCAGACTACAAAGTTGTATCATGTTACAATGCGATCTTGGTGACGTTTTTCTTGTTGATAATTTAATAACCCACTTGTAACATGTTACAACTCTGTAGTTTGAACAAGGCATAAGCATGTTTGTTATACCCAAGGGTCTGACACACCGCGATCTTAAAAACGTGTACCCAAAATAATACTTTGTCTGGAAACATAGGTGCTCACCCTTTAAATGATAGCCATGGATGTTACAACACAACTTTTGTATGGCGGCCACTCTGAAACGTGATTTAGATGTAGCCCCGATAAGATTTTCGAAAAAAGTCAATTTGTCATAGTCATACTCATAGCTAAACAAATATTTCTAAATTTAGTGCAACCCAACCCTTTCACATTGTGTACCCATTCCTTGGGGTCCCTACTATATCAACATACACATGTGCAAAGGGCATGCAAGCTTTGTGTAAACAAACCTTTGTAGGCCCTTTTCTGAGGGTCGCCCACGCAAACCAACAACATTATCGGGAAGAGGAAAGAAACTACCCGGTGATGTTGATGGTTTGCGTTGGTGTCATATGGGTGGCGAGAAAAAGACATAAGAAGATTCGTTTACAAAAAGCTTGTATACCGTTTTCACACGTGGCTCATGATATGAGAAAAATATGCATGGACTGATGACATTCAATCATCAAAAGTGGGGTATCAAAATAAGACTTATAATGGATAACAACTTTGCCGAAGAGATTACATGCCTATTGTTGATTGTTATTTGGTTAGTCATGATTTTCTTGAAAGGATAGTAATATTTTTACATATTTCATTTATAATCCTTATATATTTGCAATGTCATACAAAAACGCTCATACATAATAGATAAAAAATTTGCAGTACATATTTTTAAATCAAAAACTGCTATTATTTCGAACAATTTTACCTAGTATCTCACTTTCCGGCAGGTGCTTCCAAAATTTGGTATTTTGTAATTGTAAAATTGAACTTATTTGTAGTTCTGCGACTAAGGTTTCAGCTCAATTGATCATAATACAACAAAGCTACAGCTGTGTTCGATAAAATAGCAGCGCATGCCGATTTTCATACAAAATGGTAAACTTTGACATGATGTAACTGTGTTAACTTATGATCAATTGATGATGATGATGATGATGGTCCCACCTCTTACCCCTACAAAGGTTTGAGCTGGACGATTTATCTTTAAGATAATTGAATATGACATTTTAAACAGGTTGGCAAACAAAATCGAACTGGTTTCAGTTACAGATATAAATTCCCTGCTTCACAGCGATATAAATGTGGAAAAGCTCAGGCGTCCACCTCTTAGTTCGCCTTTTTGTCCACCTAAAATATTCATAAGCATTACAAGCAATCAAGAGTTAATGAACAATCAACAAAGCATCCTATTACACTAGCAACCCCGCAATCTGATGCTATCATAATTTTCAGCAATGTCAGGAATGCTCACGAACCCCTAACATTTGCAGAAAACTTACTACTAACTCAAGGTATCTTTCAAATAAGCTTCAAAATTGCATTTTTTTTTTATCAAATGTTAAATTCAGTCCTCTACATCCGCAATACGCGCGCGAGGCTCAAACCTTTGTAGACTACTTTTTTTTTAATTAATCTACTATTAAATCAAATATTAAAAATCTATCATCACCCTCGTGGCGAACAGAAATAGTTTTTGCAGTGCTACAATAATTATTAAAAAGTCGTTATGACAGCTATCCATATAAAATAATCCGTTAGAGATAACTTCGTCAAGATAGGGGAATTTACGTATTCTCGGCAACCCAAGCAGCGACCTTCTTTCTATAGCCTTTTTCTCTAAGGAACGCACACATATGCAGTATTGGTTTGTTTACAATCTTTTGCTGCCAGCTGCTCTAACAATTTCAGTTGAAAGAATTGTCAAAAACTCTTTTGAAACGCTTTTACAAAGCTTCAAACTTCTCTAGTGGGAGCGAGTATTGTCGGCAACCAATTTTTCTTCGGCAACCGTTCCATTTGAACTGCATGTAAATCTGCTGTTCTATTATCGGCAACTCGAAATCAGCTACAATTTGTAGTGCGTGTGTTGCATTTCAAGAAAACCTTGCTAGATTGCTTTTTCTCAGTGGTAAAAATATAGTCAAATTGAAGCTGAAAGCATAAAGAATCGTTTGCATGCATTCAGCGAAGTGTTTTCGTAAGAAAATCCAGTGAAAATAGTGTTTCAATTTGGGTTGCCGAAAATAGTCTGTCATGCCGAAGCCGTCATTTTCCCTACATAATTTGTCAATTCATAAAAAAATCACTGGATAACTGTTCAAAAGACAGTTTTAACATGTGAAATGCAGTGTCTTTTAAATTCTGTTAGTGTTGCTAAACGTTTGATATGTCTAGGCATCGAATTGAAAACATTTATTCCTTTATAATATAATGAATTTTGTGAAGCACAAGTCAAGAAATGTGGTGTTCTTATTTCAACCGCGTTTCTAGTATTATATCTATGATAGTCACTTCCTCTTTCAATTCGATCACACAAATATCGAGGCAGCAAACCGTTAACTACTTTAAAAATGAACACCATAGTCAAATATACAATTCTTTGCTTCACCGACAACCATTGTAAGGCGTCTAACATCAAAGTTGAGGAAGTGAATCTATTACATCTCAAAATCAAACGCATTATTTTATTCTGCAAGCGCTGTAATCTCGATATTTGTGTTTCATTGGCCAGAAATAAAATGGAAGGGCAAAAGTCAAGATGAGGAGAGATGATTGATTTGTATAGCTGTATTTTACTGGCAATAGTTAAATCGTTTTTCAGTCGACATAGAATTCCATACTTCTTGGCAATTTTCTTGATGACATTGTCAATGTGAGAGTTGAACTTAAGTGTGTCATCAATAATCACGCCAAGATATTTAATCTCCCGAACGCGATCAATAGTCTCATCATCAATTACAACAGAGACGTTCTCATTTACTCGATTCCGCGAAATTACCATAAATTTAGTTTTACTTGTATTCAATTTTAACTGCTTATACTTCAACCATCTACTTAGAGAACGCAAATCTTCATTCAAGTGTAAAACGGCATCATCTAAATCCTTAGCTGCAATGAATAACACAGTATCATCTGCAAAAAGATTAATGTCGCAAAATCGTAAAACACGTCACAAGCCATTAATATACATAATAAATAACAGGGGCCCTAATACACTTCCCTGGGGCACTCCAAGGTTATTCCCCACGGGACTGGAAACAGAATCATTAAAAACAGTCCGTTGAGTTCTGTCAGACAAATAGTTTTCAAACCATTTATATGCAGTACTCGTAATTCCAAAGCGCTTGATTGATCTTAACAATACGGGGCCTAGACATTGTTTCAAAAGCGCGTTTAAGATCCAAAAAAACAGCAACAATCGTATCTTTACACTCCAAGTTATTTTTCCACTTCGCTAATACCAAATTCAACGCGGTTTCACAAGAATGACCTTCCCGATATCCCGATTGTTCTGGTATCAACAAACTATTACTATTTAAATACTCCAACAGCTGGCCTTTAACAGCAAGTTCTAAAATTTTCTCTAATGTGTGCAACATGTTGGTGGGACGAAACTATTCGGCTTTAATCGTTCCAGCAACTTTTTGAATAGGGACCACTAAGGATTCCTTCCAAATTTGTGGCACATGTCCAGTTTGTAATGATTCATTAATAATGTCCAGCAAGATGTGGCCAATGACATGAAAGCAATCTTGAATAACTCTAGCATTAACATTATCTACTCCAGCCGATTTTCCTAATGAAAAACAAATAACTCTAAGTTCATCTAATGTGATTGGGTGAAAAACTTCAAATCTACAACTACTATTAACTGGCTGTTTTATTTCGTCAGGTTCATCGACCAATTCAATAGATTGATTAATCAATGAAACGCTATATACGAAATAATCATTAAACTTAGATGCAATTACTTGTTCTGACTGTTCTAATGTGCCATTGAAAGTTATGGACCGCGGTTTGCAATTACTAGGTTTTAATAAAGATTTCAAAATTTTCCATAACTGCTGTTGTTTTGATGCTGATCAATCTTCCTTTGAACATATTCACAACGAGTTTTCTTTATCGATTGTGAATACTTATTACGCGCGATTGTGTACCTAGTCCAATGCTTGTCATTATTAGATCTACAAAACTTTTTGTACCATTTGTCCCTTTTCCGTTTAAGACACAAAAGATCCAAATTGTACCAGCTGTTCGAGTTTTTCAAAGAAACAAACTTTTGCTCAACTAGTTGATTGGTACACGTTTTCAAAGCGTTATTAAGAACAGCTGTAGATTCATCTAAGTTACCGGCCGCGAATGGAAAATCCAGGCTTCTCTCAACAAGATTCGAAACAGCTTGCTTCGAATATTTCCTCCAGCACTTCAATTTTACAAAATTATCGTTATCGTTAACATGGTCTAAGACATTAATCACTAAAGTCTCATGATCAGTTATTTTCAAATCAGTATCCGTAACTGAACAAATGGAATCAAAATTGGAATAAACGTGGTCAATTAAAGTTCTACTGTGCATGGAAATACGCGTATATTCATTTACCGTTTGCTTTAAATTAAAAAACTCAGCTAAACGCTTCAAATGATTCGAATTATGGTTATCACGCCAATTAATATTAAAATCACCAGCCAATATATTTAATTAACTAGAATCAAGGAATGTCTCAAGCCAGTTCTCTAAAACTTCAACAAAACGCTGGTCACTAGAACTGGGAGAATGATACAAAACACCATAATTACCCATCTTCATGCCACGTACAACTGTAATGCCCAAGAACCAGTTGCCATCAATAACTTCGTTGGTACGAAGGTTGAATTGAACTGATTCTTTGACATAAATAGCAACACCGCCAGTGTGTCTAGAATGTGATAAACAAGCAGCAGCAATATATCCCGGAATACTATACTGATCAAAAGCTTCAGTTTCTACA